AATTAAACGATTTCACACGTTGGAAGTGGTAAAGCACCTAACGATCCAATTCTCCTGAACAAAGTTTACGGTGTGAAAACTTCTCCGCCATGCCTGCTAAACTTAAATTGCTGCCGATGTAAAGAGAGTATGCTACCTAATTACTTATATACTTACTTATTTATTTACTTATGAGAAATTCGCTTATTTCGTCATATAATTATTTTGAATTGAAGTCTAGATTTTTAATACAGGGGTCTCGGGTATCATTGCTACGTGAGTGATTATAGGCTAGGGCAGATAAAAAATATTTACACGGAGTGATGGAGCTTTACGCCTGACATGTCAAATAATCATGTGATATCATTTCCATACTTAAGGCATTTCACACAAGAATATTTCTGATGAAAGCCTTTGGAAGCTTCCTTTTCTCAAAATGTAATGTTTAAAGAAATTAATGTACCAAAGCTAGAACTATGAAAGTAAGTACAACATAATGCGTTGGCTGGTGATATAAGATCTACCCGTACGATTTTTCACTGAGGTTAATCCATGAGGCTTGAACGTTGAATTGAGTGATTAATCAAACAATTTAGCTTGTATAAAGAAATCATTCAAATTTGCAGTTGACAGTTACTGCCTGACAGTTACTGCTTGACAGTACAGCTTGACAGTTACTGACAGTTGCTGCTTGACAGTTTCTGACAGTTACTGCTTGACAGTACAGCTTGACAGTACAGCTTGACAGTACAGCTTGACAGTTCAGCTTGACAGTTACTGCTTGACAGTTACTGACAGTTGCTGCTTGACAGTTGCTGCTTGACAGTTTCTGACAGTTGCTGCTTGACAGTTTCTGACAGTTGCTGCTGACAGTTGACAGTTGCTGCTTGACCGTTACTGACAGTTACTGCTTGACAGTTACTGACAGTTGCTGCTCACCGGCGTGCACTGCGCTCGGTTACTGCTCCTCCAGTTACTGGAGTTGTACAAATTTAACGATGACATTATTTGTAGAGTCGTGGCCGTTCTCTTATGAATATTTGTACAACTTTGTGTGTGTGTGTGTGAAGTATATTATCCTTTCGAAGCTTCCCTTTCTCAAAATGTAATGTTTAATGAAATTAATGTACCAAAGCTAGAACTAAGAAAGTAAGTACAACATAATGCGTTGGCTGGTGATATAGGATCCATCCGTGCGATTTTTTATTGATGTTAATCCATGAGGCTCAAACGTCGAATTGAGTGACTTATAAAACAATTTAGCTTGTATAAAGAACGTTGAATTGACAGTTGACAGTTACTGCTTGACAGCTCAGACAGTTGCTGCTTGACAGTTACCGACAGTTACTGCTTGACAGCTCTGATAGTTGCTGCTTGACAGGTACTGCTTGACAGTTGCTGCTTGACAGTTACTGACAGTTGCTGCTGACAGTTACTGCTTGACAGTTACTGACAGTTACTGCTTGACAGTTTCTGACAGTTGCTGCTCACCGGCGTGCACTGCGCTCGGCTACTGCTCCTCCAGTTACTGGAGTTGTACAGATTTAACGATGACATTATTTGTAGAGTTGTGAGCCGTTCCCTTATGAATATTTGTACAACTTTGTGTGTGTGTGTGTGAAGTATAATGACTCCTAAAATTTCATTGCTAATATATAGGGGCTGTTGGGGCGTGTATCTAGGATATTTATCGATACCTAGACCTGACAATTTGTTTTTAGTGGGAGAATAGGAAAGGCTATGATAAATACGCGTCATGGTTGTTTTCAAGTTATTGAAACGACAGTGAAATGGGACTCGTATCTTCTGTGTAAAATGAAGGGGTTTATTTCTGGAGGGGTATATTTAATTATAATACACGGCCTTCATTGATATTAACGGGATTACGGGAGACACGAGATTTGGCTTGAAAGAATTCCAAAATTGCAGGATTGATCAAGCCCGTACACCGCCGGGCTAACCTGCTAGTAGGTTATAAAAGATGCGTTTTCTCCTCATCACCCATTCAAAGCCTGCTTCTTATTACCTCAACTGAGGTGATTGTTTTGTATGTGCAAGCTGATTTTGATTAACTTTGCACTAGCCGTTCATGTCATCACAGCGGCGTGTGCTGTTTTATTTGAGCCTCCACCAAAGTTTAGATTTTAAGAATCATGCCTGATTAACTATTAACTTGGTCATTAACTTAAGCCCTTTGTTAGGAAAACTAAATTTTGGTCCTGTCATCGCTCACAAGCATTGAAAATAAATGAATTATTCCAATATCTTATTTATTACAAGCCGAGTTTCTGGTTTCCTTCATTACTGAACACGAGTGGCCGAGTATTTCTATTCGCATGCCGTACGCTAGTTCGTTTTTACTCGTACATCATTTTTTATTTTGTGCGATTTTCCGTGGGAATTTCTCTAATTAATTTTTTAAACCCGAGCAGTTTGATTTAATTGAACCGGTTAGTTTGATTTAATTGAACCGGTTAGCTGATGTATGGTCTCTATAGATTATTTTTCTTGTCCCTTGCTGTTCTGGCAAATAAATACATTCATTGTACACATTCATTCATTCCATTGGTAATCCTAGAGACATCAGAAATTGATTCGTTTTTCACAGCACCAATACTATATTTTGAGCTCTGCAACCCAGTTTGTTGGAGGTAAAATTATCTATATATTTTCATAACATAATTTAATTTTCTCAATTGTTTTATATTAGGTTTTTGATAAAAAAATGTCATAATAAAATATAAAATAGTTCTGTGATGGCTGTAATAACTATTAACTTGGTCATTATGAATTCGTTTCGTTCTTAACCACGCCCGATTTTTCTTTCAGGAAATCAATCTCTATGAATAATTTCGTCCGTCGCTTTTCCCACTTTTCGTCCGTCAGTTATCCTCTACTTCATGTTTTTCCGACTTGTTAAATTTATCGCCTCACTTACTCTATTCGTTATCCGGTCCACGATCTATTCTAAACCAACGTCGTATCTCTCGAAGCCTCGTTATAAATTATCCCATCAACGTCTACGCAGATAGTGCGATCGCTCAACAATATTTCTTTCTGGAACCTTGGTTTCTGAACGAAATATTTCTTTGTAAAATATCCAGTGCTTTTATAATTTATTTGAGAACGTCTACTGATGCCCATCTAGATAACGAAAGTGAAGTAAATAACGAAAGTGAACATTCCTACCTTACAGATTTCCGTGTAGTCGTGTCCAAAATAGCCGAATTAACCGCCGGTCGCTTCTGGCCTTAATTGTACTCAAAACCTGAGATCAAAGCTGATGATTTGGGTGGCGTTATGTCGATTTTTTTTCTCCTGCCAACCCGGGTTTCGCTGCTCGATGGCAATGCATTTCTCTTCATGAATTAATGAGAAAGATATGCCAGATCATATTATAAGGTTAAATAAATTGATCCCGATCATGAACAAGTGAGTATCGAAGTAAGGGCTCCTAATAATGTTTTTTTTAAGTAAACGATTTCACTCGATAGAAGTGGCAAAGCACCCACGATCCAAACCTTCTAAACCAATTGACCGTAAAAAATCCTTCGCCATGCCTGCTTTTTATTACTAATGATTTAGTAAGAGTATTTTACCAACTTGTTTAGATGTGTTACTGTTGTAATATTCCGAAGTATCTGTGATACGTTATGCTTATAATACAGGACAGACGAAAATATTTAGATGTGTCATGGTTGAAAGACTCGCTAGTTTTTACGCAAAGTTATGCTGATGTTTTATACAACAAAATATTTAGAAGTGGTATGAGAGTCGATACCGTAGTATATATGCGAGGTTAGGGTACGCACACAGTGGAAGCAGGTTTGCCCTCGCGGGCAACCTGCTCCAACCTGCCACAAGAATGAACATAGTATAATAATGTAAGTGTTCACAGTGAAAACCTGTACGAATAGGCTTCTGTATTCTATGGTTTCAGGCGCCAGTCTGAGCAGGTAACCAGCACGCTGGCAACCTGCTTTCACTGTGTGCGTACCCTTATGATGATGTAAGATAAAATATAAATGTGTCACTGTCTCAGTTGTTAGACTAGTATTCGCTAGTATTTATGCCATGTAATGCTGATGTTTGAGCTATAGGATTAAAAGGTGAAATGAAGTAATTCATAGAACGAATTAACGTTTTCGGAAATCGTACAAGTAGGAGAATTGACAGTTACTGCGCATGGGCGTGTGCTGCTCTCGGATGGTGATAAGTTTATGATAACTGAAGTTGGATAAATTTTACGATGATATTCTCCTGTATTTTGAGTCATAATATAATTTTAGTGTCTTCATTGCTTGTAGTTTATGTTAGGTGCGTGATCCTGCCATAATTAAACAGATAAGTGATGGCTGTAGAAACTAATTAACGTTGTTTTTCGGAATTAGTTCCGTTCTTTACGACGCCAACTGTCCTTTTAGGTTATCTATCTCCATGACTAATTTTCTATGCCTCAATTTTTTTGCCGTTCAATCCTTCACTGCTTATATGTTCAGGTTTTTTACTTCATTTATTCACAAAGAAGTTGTTATTCCTTCGCTTTCTGGATCTGGTCCTGCATCTATACTAGCTTCTTATCTCTCGAAGTCTTATTACAAATTTTATAGTCGACGTTTCGTAGATAGTGCAATCGCTCTATAATATTTTTTGGGGGGACTTCTGTTCCGGAAGGGAATGTTTCTGTTCAACGTACCCAGTCATTTTTTTATATAATTTTAATAAACTTCTCTTGATGTACGTATACTTGAGACACGTAACATAAAAATATGGTACAATTGAAGAGGAACGTGTTGTATTCTGCTGCTAAATAACGAAAAAGCATGTAACTTATTCGCAATTTTATATCGGTGATGAAAGCTATTGTTTGAGTGTGATTCACTCTGCTATGCATTATTTTTTAGCTTGTGCGTTTGTTTCTGTGGAGAAAGCATAATTTGTTGCCATTTTTCTGATTGAAAGATGTAATTAATTATAAGTATATTGCGATTCATGTCGTTAAAGAAGTTTTTCTCTTGCAGGAGGCAAGAAAGTTGTGGGGGTTGATGTGGAGAACGACGCACTGGTGCGCGTGATGAAGCATCAGCCGCAGATATTCCATCAGATGCTGGGAACGGTACTGAACATAATCATGTTTGAGGACTGCCGTAACCAATGGAGCATGTCGCGCCCTCTGCTGCCTCTCATACTCCTCAATAATGAGGTATGTCTAGCAATCATGCTCAACAGAATCATATTTCAGGACTCCCGTAACCTGTGTGTAGCGCCCTCTTTTTAGCGCATTTTCTCATGAGTGGAAAAAAATATAACTCGGTATTCACTGCAGTGGGTGAAAGAGAGCGCATTTTCTCGTCGACGAAAACATGGTCACGGACGGACAGACGGACATGACGAGCACAATAGTGCATTTTTTCCATAATTGAGAAAATGCGCTAGAAAGGCGCTATTGTGTTCGTCTTGTCCGTCCGTCTGTTCGTCGGTGACTTCACGTTTTCGTCGGCGAGAAAATGCGCTCTGTCACTCACTGCAGCGAGTACTGAGTTATATTTTTTCCTCTCATCCGCTTTACTGAGAAGCGTCCACAACTATCTGTCGAAGGCACACATAGTGCGACGATCTTTAGCCTTGCCACACACCTTGCCATCCACCACAGACGTGATGGATGAGCTCTCCTAACTCAACCTTTACTCAATATATCCAAAGCTTTGCCAACTAACATGGTAAATGCTAGCAATTCTTTCTTCGAAAAAAAATGAATCCACCTACTTACTGTCTACGGACCAAGGCTCATCATGATATTTGATTTTGCATTCGGTACACCAATTAAGTAATATCGTCCGATGTATTGCTATTCTTGCCCTGTTATTTTTGGAGGAATCGTCAAAATTAAAAATAAATTAAATGAAAAATGTAATACTTTTTGCTTTGGTTTGGTGCTTTTGGTTTTGCTTGAACTGACGACTATCTTGCAGTACTTTGGTCAGCTTCGTCAGCAAATAATAAGTCAGCAGGCAGCAGACAAGCAGAGCGTCATGGCTCAGTGGTTTGATAATTTAATGGACGGCATCCAGCCTAACCTGCTCACCAAGAACAGGGACAAGTGAGTTCATGTTATGTCTTGATAATCTTATTGGATGACCTGTTCACCAAGAACAGAGACAAGTGAGTTGATGTTATGTCTTGATAATCTTATTGGATGACCTGTTCATGTAAGAACAGGGACAAGTGAGTTGATGTTATGTCTTGATAATCTTATTGGATGACCTGTTCATGTAAGAACAGGGACAAGTGAGTTGATGTTATGTCTTGATAATCTTATTGGATGATCTGTTCACAAGGAACTGTTAAAACAAGTTGCTTTTGAACTAGTATAATTTTATTAATATTATTTTGTTATCTCAAACTTTGCTCTACAGGTTCACGCAGAATCTTTCTGTGTTTCGACGAGACATAAACGACTCGCTAAAAGACGCCGTGTCAGGCTTGGCAACGAACAACAGTGAGATGATGACTACGTGACACCAATGCCATCATCAAACCCGTCATCACCACCACCATCACCTGCATTGTGGGAAGTTCGCTCCTTGTTTTCTTCGCTGGTCACTTAGAATACTCTACGGAGGGTCCACTTGTACTTGTTTTGTACTTGTTTACTCGAATTTATACTAGAATTTGCTTCAGAGCTTTCGTTTGGAGGAGACTGCGTACGAATTTCACATTTTTTATGCAATTTATTTGCATGAAATCTGAGCTGCATTTGATTTTATCTTGTGTGCTCTTGATTATTTTCACGACGTGTGACGCTCGTCTATTGATTAACTCGAAGACAATTCCCCTTCAAAAGTAGTTTCGTTTTCACATGATTAAAGTGCTCTCAATTCGACCTAGGAGCTTCCTTGATTTTTCTCATCAGTGCTCGTGGTCTGCTATTAGTTTTTTTTTTTCTTTCATAAGATATTATTTTGAAGAATTGATTGTTAGCTGGTGTATGATGTAATTTGTGTTAGGGAGGACGCGAAAATTCTTTGGTTATATTTTTTCAGTACCCAGATGATTTTCATATTAAGGCTTAGTTTTCGTACTACGTATGTTCAAGACTTTCCATGATGTTAGGTAATTTGTTGATGATGGTTGGTAGCTAGACTATTCTGTATACAAACTCGATTGTAAATTAGAAATTTGAGTCATTTGTACCTAGTCGCTCATGTGTTGATCTCTTGTTCTAAAAGCTTCCACTTGATCCTCCCGGAAGCGCTTTGTGTTAAAAGTATTATAATTCATCATTTGTTTTCCCTGATGTACTTTGAGAGGCCATACCTGGGGCCATACTTTCAAAAAAAGTGTAGAGATCGTAAGTTCATCAGCCAATCATTGACGGCCTTTCAAGAAAATCCACCAATCATTGACAAGAAAATAGATCGTAAGTACTTACGTTCACTTAGCGAGTTCTGAAAGTATGGTCCCAGATCCTGACAGGTTCGTAGGCAATAACTCAATGTGCTTCGTGTCGGCTATGTCAGTCGCAATTTTATCGCTCCCTCCATGGACCAAATGTTACATTCACCTTTCCTAGTTTAGGGTAAATTTCCGGAACTTATCGTAGCAGAATAATTTCGTTTTTCCATTCCATCATCCTAGATCGATCAAACGTAATTATTTTATTGTTTTTTTTTTAGATCTTGGCTGTCGAGCATGCGTTGTCTTGATGAACAAATTTTGAACTATTGTTCTGTCAGGTGAACTTGAATATATTCGCAGATCTAAAACAATTGGCATATGATTTAAATGATACCAGTTTCTAATATATTGAAAATTCGTTCGCATTCATAGCTTTTACTGTCGCAGACTTGTTATGTTTTTTCGTGGCTTAGCCACATGGTGGTATTTTCACTTATGAATTCGACATCGGTGAAAGATAAGTTCAATAATAAATGTTAAGAGCATTATGTGTCAGCTACTTCTGATTTGTTTGTGAAGGCTTTCATACGTGCACTGTTTTAGCGCGTTTTAGAAATCATCCATATTGATGAACGTTTCTCTGTCCTGGCGCATCGTGTCTTAACAAAGAGTCGTAGTCGTCTAAATCGGAGATAACAGCTTCGTTTCACGTGGATTATGTACCAACTCACAGCAGTTTCATTTCTTCTCTTGGCTATTGAAGTTAAGGATGCCCGCGATGATCGATGGTCGAGTTTGCTTTACCATTCTAAAATGATTCCCACTTTCTGTCTGTATTAGTTAATGTCAATCGAAACTTACTACGGTTGAGATATTGAAGGAGATAATACTCTTCAGGCATTTGAATGGCTAGGTTGCCTTCAAGCATTTGAATTGCTAGGTTTCGTATCTGTCGTTTTGTCCCCTCATCGTCTGCAGTTAACTTCATCAGTTCTATGACGTATCTCCTCTGTTATCAGTATTTTGCTCCCGACTGATTTTTTTATTGTTTTGTACAGGCTTCAGAAAAATTGCATTTCAAATTTGAAGTCAAACATCAGAAGGTGGAATCAATTTTGTATATAGAACCAATTATGAGGTGTAAATTTGTACATACAACTCCTGAATAAGTTTTATGTTGGCAACTTACTAGTACGTTTCTCTGCAGTAAGAATTCCTGTGTAGTTGCTTGCCGTGCGTGCGGTTGGCTGTTGTCAACTGGTGGATGTGGTGGCAAACCTGCGGTTGCTGACAATTGGTATCTTTTCCTGGTTGTCGCTGGTAACTGGTGTGGTGGCACATTCTTGGTCTACCATTCATAATTGCAGCTGACTAGGTAGTTTAGAGGGCCGATCTGCAGGCTTTTGAAAGAAATGAGTCTGGCTGTGGTTATTTTCAGGAGATGGAAGACGGTGAAGAGTAATTCGTATGTGTATTGGAGTGAAGTATATCAGCCAGTGGGAACTTGAAACAGTTGGAATGTACTTTCTCAGTTAGGTAACTTATGTTTCTCTAGAATTATTTGTCATTCCTTGTGAGCAGCTGAAACCGAACACCTTAGTTTCCTGGTCTGCTAAGATGATTAGGACTAGCAGAGGTTGATGACTGATCGAATATTTCTCGTTAGACTTGCACGATTGACAGATGCATGTGATTCAGTTCTCTCCGAGCCTAAAATTTTCAGTGTCTCCTCTAACATTTTACTTAGGGATTTATTATTATTCAGTGTGTACGCTGTACGTAATTACACCACAGACTTCAATTATTGAACTATTATCCTTAGGAAAACTTCGAGCACGTATAAATAGCGCTGTGAAGCGCGTTATGGATATATGTTGATTTTATTGCTTTAAGAAACCATTGCGTTAACAAGAGTTTGAAAAATTGTCCCTGTTAATTCTTGTGCAAGCATTTGTCAGGTTCTATACCTATTCTCATGACATACTTGAGTAGCCATTCTCCTCTGCTAAACAATTCTCTCTCAATTTAGTTTACAATTCTATAAACATTCCTAGCATCACTTTGTGTACTGGTAACTTCATGGGTGTGTCCTTAGCCTTCCGGGCGATGTCTTGACGCGACTTTGTTCTCGTCGAAAGACTGCTGGGGGCGCGCGTTGTGGGCATTGCTCATGAGCTTCCTTTGCTAGGCATTGCAACATGAGCAATTAAGTAAATGGGCATTACTCATGAGCGTCCTTTGCTAGCGGCAAAGGACGCTCAAGGCTTCGGCCATTGTTTTGAGCGGGCTCAGCAGATGCGTTTTTTGCGTAGGCAGGCTACCCGGCGCTTCCCGCCCCCGTCTCCATCGTGCGGATGGCCGATGTCTCGTGTGAGCGAACTTTTGTAAGCGTGTTCGTTTCAGTTGTTGTTCACTTGTTCTTTCTTCGTCGGGTATACGATGCTCCTTCCTCACCAGCTTTAGTGCTCTGGTATTTTGAGGCATCGTGTGGGTTATAAATTATTGTGTTGTAGGAAACTCTCTGATGATAATGGACTGCTGGTGCGAGATTACTTCATACATGGTTAAACCACCACTATAATACAATTGAATTTTTTCGTCACAATTTTTTTTAGAACTTCCTGTCTAAGTTATTACTAAGAACTTTTATAGTCTATCTGCAAGGCATGCCGACGTAATTTTGTAAAATGCCTTGGATTTTTTTTTTTAGAATTGAGAAACTACTGAATTGGCGGCAGTCCTCGCACATTTGAGCTTGAGCCGAGGTGATATGACTGGCGAGAAGTTGTTGTATGGACATTGAATGACCGAAATCTTACCTTGAATTCTATTCGAATAAAGAGAGCAACGAGTCGATGCTGCTTGGCAGCCGACGTCTACTGACCTGCGTTCCTGTGATGAACCGTTTCGTGGTTTAACAAAAATATCAAATAATCTCTGAGTTTTATTTTACCTTGGTGACTTAAATTTGTTAGCGCCTTTATTCACCTGTGTTGATGAGCTACGAGCTCTGTCTCGACCATTGTACTCGTATCATTTTACACTTTCCCATTTTTGTTCAAATTAAATCTCCCCAACATTTATCACAAATTTGGCTCTCAGAAATTGTTTTACTGTAATGATCCTCTCAGCTCTATGATTAACAGGAAATAGTCATGGACCTATTGACTGGACCTTCTGCCAACTACAGATTTTAGGGCTGAATCTAAAACAATTATTGTAAGTAGGACCGAACAATTTTTAGGACCGAATCTAAAACAATTATCATTTAAGTAGAAGGTTGCTATATTCTGACACATTAATTTTAGTTGGAGATCAGTTGATGCGACTTCCGTTCGTACGTTTCATATAGCGAAACGCATGTAGGCTAAGTCCGACTAGATTAGCGGCTCGTGACGTCATGTCATTCGAGCTGACTAGTGATACGTGTCGTGCTTCTTTCATAGCGATACGTGTACGTATTCTCTCAGCCACGCACAAGTCTTCATAGTTCAATAATTAGAAGGAATCTTTGCTACGTACTGCGTATTAATGATTTTATACGCTTTGCGTATACCAAAATCAAAGTAATAATCACTATAAATTTATTATATTGTATATTGGTAAATAATTCTAATTCATGCATCAGCGTCATATATGTTATGGATATTTTTCTGTTGGTTAGGCCTTAGGACGGCTATTAAAATCGATAGAATGTTCTGAGAAGTAGATCAGAACTACTGTCATAGTTAGAAGCTCTCCAGTGATGTAAATTAATTTCGTTGCCTTTTGCCATGAACTACCTATTTGTCCCTTGCTGACTAATTTTCCCCACAAATTCTCTTAATTTCTCACATCGTAGAAATTTACGTAATTTCGTATAAACTAATCTCACATTTTAATATCTCCTCGCATAGTGGAAATCTACGAGCTGAAACAACAACTCGGGTGTCGAATTTGATTACTCATGGCAATTCGTCCATAAAATTCCCTTGCCATACCACCAACGAATATTCTTTTCTACTCAATAATAAATAATCATTTGATAACAATATATACTTATGATTGCTTCTTTCTGTCTTGCATTTCAATCAATGACGAGCCGCTCTCCCTGTTCGTTATCCATGTAATTATCTTCGGCCAGACGTCGGAAGTGCACGGAGTTGCGGAATTCGGAGTAGAGCGTGAAGAGGACGTGCAGCGATTGAATCTTGCTCTTGTACACCGGTATGTCCAGGATTGCTGTTGACACAAGTTACAGTAAGTTCCAGTGAGTGACAATATTGCATATCAACATATGTAGTATAACTGTTTAGCATAAAGGAAAGTATACATTGCTAATGTATTGTTTCAGGGTAATGTATACGAACGTTTGATGCCTCTAGTTGGTTATTGATCTGCAGGTACCTTGAAAAGTAAATGCAGACGTATTTCAAGAACGCAATTTTCTCAATTTAACTTGACATAGTATTCCCACAAATGAAGTTACCATTTATTGAATGTTGCTAAACCATTTTGGATGAATAACTTTTTATCATTAAGGTATATCGAAACATATTTTAACTGATTGTTAAGATATAATTAAATTCCTAAGAATTCTGACCGCAAATGAGTCCAGCGTAATTCTCAAGGTCGAGATCGAGTGCAGCGTTGGGTAGCCGCAGCTCTTGGAACAAATCCTCCAGCTCTCCTGGCCACTCCTGCATCAGGCTGTCGATGTCTGGCATGCGCCTGCGTAGCACACGCTTATTAATCCTTTGTTCACGGATACCTTAATAGTCGTCAATGGTATCTTCTTATCTCGTGCCTAAAGATAATGTCCATAAGTTGAGAATTAAACCTTTGTCCACGGATACCTCGATAGTCGTCAATATTATCTTCTCATCTCGTGCCTAGAGATAACGTTCATAAATTGAGAATTAAACCTTTGTCCACGGATACCTCGATAGTCGTCAATGGTATCTTCTCTCTCGTGCCTAGAGATAACGTCCATAAGTTGAGAATTAAACCTTTGTCCACGGATACCTCGATAGTCGTCAATGGTATCTTCTCATCTCGTGCCTTGAGATAACGTCCACAAGTTGAGAACTAAACCATTGTCCACGGGTGCATGAATGGTCAATGAATTATGTCCACATCTCGGAACAATAGTTCCCGTCAATAGGCAAGGCATTAGTTTATCATTTCAGTTTTCAGTCCGCTCTGATCTGCTGCGTACTGCATATGCTTGAATATGCTTTGGATTAATAACTGTGCGAAAGAGAATTAGCAGTGAGTTTGCAAGCCGAAATCCGATAGGTGCACGTTCTGACTGTGACGCAGATTTTAAGTAGCAACTTGAATGTTGGACACGGCAGTTAAACCTGGTCAGTGTGCGCTGGTGTTCAGTGGACATAGTGCTTGTCAATAAATAAATGCATAATAAGAGTAATTTATAAAATAGCTACATATAATTCGATACCTATAATTTGGCTATATTGGTGACCACATGTTTGACGAAGAGTGCCCTCAAGTCTGCATTGCAGGAAGAAGGTAAGTGTCCAAATATTTCTTAATGAAAGGTGATGGAATAATCGGGCTGCTTGAGGATGACTTACTTCGAGTAATGAACAGTGGGGGCAGGCTTGGCGCGATGCAAGTCGCTGATGTCACGTACCCATTTTTCGATAACTTTCGGATTTTTATCTGCGCTTTCCACTGTCTTGATGGACTAGAAGGAACAAAAATTTTGCATTATCTGGTTTAAAATTGTATAAGTGAATTCTTCATAAAGCAATTACATTTTGTTGATCGGATAATGTCCAATAAACCTAATCCTGTATAAATTTTACAAATTTTCATAGTGGGTTAGTGGCCTTTGAATTTGGACACCGGCCGCATGTCCAGCCGTAAATTTGTCCCAGACGTGAGACTTATAGTTTAGGGATATAATCAGGGAGTTTAATTTTTAATATTGGCCTCCTGCACCTTTGAGAAATAAAGATGGAAACGAGTTAATTTTAAAATAAGTTTGATTCGCTAACAAAGTTAAATTTTACATTTTTTATTTTTCCGTTATTAAGAGTACATTTTATTCGAAAAAAGTTCAAACGTGCTTTATATTTCAAAACAGGACTTAAACGGGATTTCTTTGCTAGATGTGGTTTCTGAACAGTACTTTTTGCAATTACCGTAATTTAGCTTCAAAAATTTTAACCGGATTCAGGACGATAGAACCGGATCACCGCATTGGAATGACGGGATTCTCAAATTAAAATGACTTTTATCGACCCCGGATGACGCCGGGCTAACCTGCTGTAAATCGATATTTATGCATGCATTTTCAGAGTGCGATTAGGGTCTATCGTCATCTTGACATTTTTTACTCAATATTTAAAATATTTACGCTCTATCTGATTTAGTGTTATAAAGCTTGAGCACAGTTGATCGTGGAGGACGATAGTGCATACTTTAAAAAATTCTGAATTATTTTACATGAAATAAAGAAAATTTTATTTTTGATCCTTTCTACATAATCGACAAGTGTTTTTTTTTTAATTTTTGAAAATGTCATAATGAGATGCAATTAATGTAATGATGGATCAGTTTAATCATTTGCACGGTTCATTAGTAGATTGCAGTCCAGAGGTTTGTGTGTAATTGAAATAGAGTTTCGAATATATGAAGTAGGTTGTGAATTTTAAACATTCTTCTGGCTTGCGGCGCGGCGCATTCTTCTGGCATTCTTGTGGCTTTTTTTAAATTATTGATCCCTAGGGATATTCATTAATCCCTGTAGATATTAGAAGAAACAGCATTAAAATAATTTAAATTTCTGTGTATCGTAAAACATAAAATGCATCGCACAATTTTTTAATATCTGTTATAGTTTCGTACATTAAAAAATAGGCTGTGTTTCATCATGAAAATGCTGCTTTCTTAGTAACTAAACATGATGAGCATTTTTGATGATCGACTGTAGTTATTAATGGCAGGGACTCGTCAATGACTGATTGGTTTATAAAAGACGTCATGAAGGAAAAATTTTTTCATAATCTGGCATTTTATAATGAACCTGGTGTCGCTTACCAAAGTTTTGGTGGTTGTGTGCTTTGCCAGCGAACGCAGCTGGAGATCCAGTACCGTAGCGTCGCTCTGGCGGGCGCTCGGCTCGTCGAGCTCAGTCAAACCAACTTTGGTCTCCGAGTTGTCAGGCGGCAGAATCTGAGGTGCAAAACTAGTTAACCAACCCTCTTTCTAAGTAAGCAGAACTATTTAATCCTCTTTCTAAGAATAAATTAATCCCTAATCGTATCTGGAACCCTGCTAACTAGAATAAACGTGAATAGACAGAGAAACCCTTTGTGCACGGATACATCAATCACCTGTAACTTTTTTGTCTGAAGTCAAGTTAATGAATCTTACCGTTTCTAGACATCGCAAGAATATAATGTAAAATGAAATCAGTTCTATCATGTATGCCTGAATCACATATTTGTCTTGCTTTTTACTTTCTACAGAGTTGGTAGATGTTGGAATACTTCAGTAGCGCAGATTAAGTGTGACGAACTCCAACGAACCCAAAATTACTACTATTTGATGTTTTTGTTTGCTACTGACTATTGTTGACTGTTGACCTGCAGCAAATCTCCGGAATGTAGTCAGGGATGTAGGAGCAAAACTGAGCAATCAAAATTACATTAATGGAAGGATCGATGTCACCAACAGCAGAGATTTAGTCAATGCTGTGGGGGAAAAACTGCCGCAATCAGGCTTACTTTGATGAAGGCATCGATGTCACCAATAGCAGGGATGTAGTCAGGGACGTAGTGGAAGAAACTCTGCCGCAATCAGGCTAACTTTAATGAAGACCTCGATGTCACCAACATCAGGGATGTAATCAAGGATGTAGGGGAAAAACTGCCGCAATCGGGCTTACTTTGATGAAGGCATCGATGTCGCCAACAGCAGGGATGTAGTCAGGGATGTAGGGGCGAAGTCGATGTTCCAGTTCGATAGCTTGCGGCGTGTAATTCGTAATGAACGAGAAGAGCTCGCGGATCTCAGGAGATACGTTCAGGTTCTCGTACTCGGCCGGATCGTAGGCTCTGCTCGATGTATTTATTGTATGAATAAAAATTGTTTAAATTTGGACTGCATTGCTTCAAATTTTTATACTGCATTGCCCAATGGTTACAGTTCAGAGGCCATACTTTCAAAACTCTCTAAGTGAACGTTAGTACTTACGCCCTATTTTCTTGTCTATGATTGGTGGATTTTGCTTGCGTGGCCGTCATTGATTGGCTGATGGACTCTTAACTTTTTTTGAAAGTATGGGCCCAGAGTACCAAGATTGGCGCAGAGAGGTGCGGTTTCGATCCCAGCTCTGTGCGCCAGTTTTTGGTCAGAATTTGCAAGAAGGCCGGGCGGTTAAGCAAAGAAATTTTGAAGCTATGATTTGCGAGCTCAAGCCCGCAAAATGCTATGGATCTTCTGTAATGTTAAGAATCGGCAACAGGCCTACGGCCTAACAAACGCTGAAACTGCTATATTCTATATATAGTAGTTTAAACATTTAAATTTTGTCTAATATTTTATTTTATAAGTTACGTAGCGCACCATAACAAATACAAGGTGATTCACGGAAACTTCCTGTTTTGTATTTCACGTCAAGCAGCCAGACGTTGTAGGAAATACTTGGGAAGGATTTTATACGGAAGGCAAGTATATGAAGTTTTGTGAGCTGCCTTGTCAGTTGCCAATATAAATTGGCTGAGTGAGCAGTGTGCGTTTGCTCTCGAGGCGTACTTTATTAGTGGTCGTTGCATTATCGCTACTCAACGAGCATCCCGCGCGTAGTAATGAACGCGCAGTAACGGTGACTGGAGCTCGGTATACGCAAATGATTGACGCTTTTATTCTACTAAAACTGGCTGAAATGAATTTCAGGGATGTCTGGTTCCAACAGGATGGAGCCACGGCCCACACAATGCGATGTTTGGTGGATCTTCTGAGACAATATTTTATAGAGCGCGTCAGCTCCTCGAGAGGTGACCTTAAATTAATTGTTTACAATGACTGGCCAACATACGCCAAGCCATCGCTATAACATATCCGTCAGTATGCTTCAGCGAGTTGAAAGAAACTTCAGAAATCGACTAACTGAATGCATTGAAAATAGGGACCGTCCTTTGTTAACCAATAACGAGCAAAACCAAACGTTTAATGGTGGCAGGGGTTCAAATAAAGCGCAAATAAAGTGTTACAGCAAAATCATGCGATGATTCCTTCAACCTCGTGTATTTTTAGGCGTGATTGAAGAGTATGTATGTATATTTTTGTTATCTGTTCATTTAATGCGATCTGCTTGGCCCACTGATAAATATAATGATGAAAATCACACCGTTTTCCTGTCACGTATCCTATCCAGACGCCGCATTTCCATACCCATGCCGCGTCACACCGCAGTCTTACTCACCCCTCGGGCACGTTGCCCTGACCATCATCATCTTCATCATCGTCATCATCTTCCTCATCATCCTGTCTGGTCTGGGCTCCAGGACCTCCAGGTCCCCCAGACCCCAAATCCAGCGTGTCAAGTCGATGTCCCGCACCGGGTCCAGGATGGTTCATAGCCCCGCCTGGGTTATCACCGTCTATTGCGACATCGTTCTCTTCCATGCCTTCTTCGTCGTCGTTATCGACGATGTCCGTAACCACAGCAGGGTTTTCTTCATCTTCAGAATTCTCGTCGATCTATATAGGAGAGGGAATTAGTTTTCATTTGAGGCATTTAACTCTAGTTTTGAAATCCTTAACTACCAAATTAAGGTAAATTTGCAATTTTCGATTATTTATCCATGATAAATGATTGATTATCTATACTAATGAAACTTAAAAATCAAAGTTTAAAAATCCAGATAGCTAGAGGCATATGAAAATCGATGATTAAAAGGGCTATTTGAATTACTTAGGTTGTGAAGAGTTGATTGTCTTGAATCAATTCTCCCCTAACATCTGAGTACGAGGGCTTCCAAAAAAATTGAGCAGCACAATTTAGGTGCAAAGGAACGAAATTCCACTTCAAAAATTAATGTGATAACAAAACTTTAGATTGATACACACGAAAGGTTTTCTACCAAGACGTCCGAGAGCTCGGTGCATCAACACGTGTTGTGAGAGCACACCAACGTGACAAAATAGTGTGGTCAGGCTACACGAAACACGCGAAATGAACACAGGAGAGCGCATTTTCATCGCAAATTTCTGCAGAGAAAACAAGGACGACACGCTGCAATGATGTAGTAACACAGATAGTCATACGACAGTTATCACAGATCACACTGGTCACGATGACGCCTCACAGAAGAGATCAAAACGTTAAAGAAATTCGATCGGTGCTGGAGAATCATGCCAGTCTGTGGTCGCATCACTCGTGTGTTTTCTTACGGGGTTAGAAATGTGGTTGTTTCTGATCTCTGGAGAGGGCGTGGAAAATCCACCGCCGATGGAGGTGGACATCAAGTGAGGTGGAGGCACGAGGCTTGCACTGTTTAGGCGATTAGGTTCGTAGGCAACCACGTCCGTGCCCTCCGGTTCGCGCCCGGAAGAAATACCCATGAGGTCTGGACTTGGAATGACGCTCCTACCTTCCTCTGCCTCGTCTCTGTCATCTTCGTCTTCTTCATCAATGTCTCGAGGTCCAAGAAAATGAGATTCATTGGCAAATGAAGGAATATTTGCCATTCCAGGACCATGCGAGTTCCCGTTGAAAGGCTGAATCATACTGACCAGGTCGTTTTCCTCCTGTCAAACTCTTGGGCATGAAACATATATTCTACACGAAAATATACCAACAATTTGCAGGTTAACGGTAGCCTTCCCCTTCAGTGTTCATCATGATAGTGGCGATTCGCTTAAATTGAACTTATTTAGGACATGGATGGTAACTGAAATACCAACCACAATGCAGCAGTGAAATACGGGTAAATTTGGACTTCAAGAGAGGCCTTCCGTGGCTTAGCCGTATAAAATTGACGCTATCTGTCCAATTTCCCGACCATAATTCATGTGTGGGAAGGCATTACTGCTTTCACTTGTACACGACTTTTGACGATCTTTAGCAACAAGCGACCCAAACGAACGGAAGTATATAGGGCATGCACCAGAGCGTTCACGATATGCTGAGAATACGTTTTGATATTATAAATCCATCAACATTTTAATTCATGCAACCAATGTTGCTCATCCGGTGCTGTGAGCTCAAACTGTTTTTACGGGTTACTAGTAGTGAATATTTTTTTTTCTATCTTGCAATGGAATATTTCTGTTCTCACCTGATCTTCCATTTGACCAGGAGAGTCTGATTTTTCACGCTCCATGATGAGTTCTTCCTCTCCTTCTGTATTGAGAAGCTGAGAAGTAGATAATATTTTTCCTGAATAATTCAGAAGAGTTAAAAAATAAGATATTAAAAAATTTTCTACTTATCATCCACATAGTTGAGGCTTGTAGGTTTCCATGACGTTCAGAAATTCTAAAATCTCACGTTTAACCGCGGCATTTAAAAACAAACCTTATTTATTTATTGGATTCAGGATTTGTGATGACAAAACATCTCCCGGCGAGATCTCCAGCAAGGTCGAACGTCTAAGCATTGCATTATACTGTTGATTGTGCGGTAATTTTCGAACGATTGATCGAAAAACACCGCATCTATTTCATGGTGGAGACTGCTACAAATGTGATTATAGGTGGGACAATGTTTAATAATCAATACTGTGGGTGCTACATTATTCATTAAGTACACAAACTGTTGGGATGAATCCTACAGCAAACTACGTTCACCGAGGAAATACGTCCCCGGGACGATTTTGTAAGTAGGCGGCAACATGCACTTCGTAGACAATAATCAATGTGAAATTTTTACGAGATTGTGCCGTATTTGACTCATATTAAGTTTATTTGTAATATTGTACATGATAAATATAGCAGCTTTTGTCGTTTTCATACTTTACATTCGTGAAAATTTTTGTTTTGCCTCCCATCAAGTGAACCCGAGAATTTTGACATCCCACAGGGGACTCTGATGACGATACTCGAGTTACATACACTTAACACCATAACGGTGGCAGCACCGTGAATGGGAGTTTCAAGAACTCCATCAAACTAATATAGATATGCCAGAAACGTGCATTCTGTCGGCTTTTAAAGGTGAAAGAAAACTAACCGGTTCTCGTAGTAACAGACGAGCTTTGGCTTTCTTGAATTCCTGTCCAGACTCGGTCTTGGTTGGAAGAGTTCGTCTGTGATGTGTCGAGTGTTCTTTGGTGGAAAACGATGGAGGATCTGATGATACGTCAGTTACTTCGTCGTATTCCCAAGATTCGACAGATCCTTGTTTTTGCTGTTAGAAAATTTTTGATTTTTACCATACAAATATATTAGATAGAATGGTTTGTACAAGTGTAATCTCTAGCAGATGGGAAATTCGTGATATTTGAACACGAACATGAATTCTTGATTTATCAACACTCGAGTCTCGACTAACCACAAGATATTGATTCTATCTAAAGATTAGAATGTTGTGTCTAGAAGTTTTATTTGACGTAGAAATCCATTTCTAGCAGGGAAGAGTGCGCGTGGCGATTGTTACTGGAAATACAGCCAACGTGAAAAATTCAATTTCCCAGTTTACAAAAATTCCTGATATCCGATAATTCATTGAGAATGAGATTGAATCGTGCAGTATTCTCTTATAATATAACATGTTTGCCTAAAAAAAAACATATTGACCGAGCGCGTCTCGAGATCGAATTAAATACCGTACAGCTGCGGAGTTTAAAAAACTGCACATATGGGCAAGGGAGCCATCTTGGCTAAATTGTTGCAAGCTGACTCATTTGATTCCATTTCACCAAATCAACGCTAATTTTAGGACGTATCGTGAGATTAACGCAAAATAAGATTGCCGTCGCGGTCATAATTATAAGTAACGCAAAGAATGCACGAGTTTTGGTGATACTATCATTGTATATGTTGAAGCCACTACGTGAAACGCAAGCTACTCATGAGCGGCAACAATGTGTAACTTTTAATTGGCTTCTCGGCGGAGAAATGATTACTCAAGTCTCTGCAAGAAAAAAATGCTAGAATATTGCTTCCCTCTCTCTGATTAGTTTGGACTAGCTTGGAAAGGTGTTATGAACTAGAGTTAATGGAAGACTGTGATGATGAAACTTAAATGTAACCTTGCTAAATTTTTAAAACGTAGCATCTTAGAACACGCAGAGGCGTTTCTCCTTTATATTATTTCTATCATGTGAATCGGGTACTAAATGCTTGGTTTATTCCTATCTCACACGATATCGAATGCATACCTAACCCGTTGTCTGGACGGTTACTTCAGTATCCAAGTCTTGAGGTAACAATAACATTGGCTGACGGTTTATATAATTGATTTATTCGTGCTTTATTAACATTGTAGGTGCGTAGCAAAATTTTTCACAAACGTCATTTTGCTTACGTGCGAAATCAACGTTAACGGCCAAGTCTACGGTTTCAACGTAAACGGTCAAGTCTACTGTAGTGCAATGATTCGTGTGTAAGGAAGACACTGAATACTGAACATCGGTACAAACTTCGATAGGCTTCAAAGCCGCGGTCACCACCGGTTTTGTATAACGCTTCAGGAACTGTCCGCTCCCTGCTATGTCAGAAAAGCCTGAAGCGGGCCTAGTACGTTTGTTTGCTTTAGGTTGATCTCTCTCATTGTTTGAAGCTTTGAAGAATACCGACGAATCTTGAGCACTGTATGGGCCAATCAGGATTATTTAAAACCTAGTTTAAATATATTTTATGTTATTAACAATTGACACTTTTTCAGTTTACAGTATTTTATTTTAGTTTCCGTTTTGAGGTAAGGATCACTTCGCACCAATCGCAATTCATAGTACTGGTCTCATTTTAATTAAAGATTTCTTGGTCGGTTTCACATCAACTAATGTTTGCATCTTGCTTATATAATTTGAATTTCTCCTGTGAATACTCAATAGAATAAGTCATGAAATTGATTAAATTTTGTTAGTGCTGAAAATGGAACTGACTAATCATGCAGTGGTTCCCAAAGTGGGCGATATCGCCCCCCTAGGGGCGGTGGAAAGATTTTGGGGGGCGGTAAGGAAGAAGAGGGCGGTTGGGGGGCGATTTTAACTCGATGAAACTTAGTACACGTATTCATTAGGACCTAACAATAATGTTTAGCTCGTGAAAATTGCTTGAATTTTGCCATCGTTTGTTTTTGTCATAGTTATATGGCAATACGGGCCGAAATTCACAGTGATCACGTAATTTCTTCCAAACTACCGAACAGATTCGAACGAAATTTTGAATTTGCAGTCCTAACTGCCGAACGGTAATGTTTAGCTCGTGAAAATTTTCTCGATTGCGCTTTCGTTCGCGAGTTTTTTTTTACCTTTATTCGTGATTTAAACAGCAATACGTGTTTGTTTAAATTCGCAATAATCAAGAAATTTTTTCCAAACTGCTGAACAGATTTGAACGAAACTTAGTATTTAAATACCTAACCTCAGCAACGGTGATGTTTAGCTCGTAAAATTTTTTCGTTTTGCCTTCGTTTGCCAGTTATACGGCCTTATACGGCTCTTGGTTAATCCGGCCGGTAGAAAAGCCGGTCGTACCTCCAATATCTGTATATAACTCGCGAACGAAAGCAAAATAAAAAATTGTCACGAGCTAAACATCACCGTTGAGAGGTTAGGTATTTATATACTAAATTTCATTGAAATTTGTTCTGTAGTTTGGAAGAAATTTCTTGATCGCCTCGAATTTAAGTGACGAATTACTCGGCGATACGGGCCGAATATAGGGAAGTGTGAAATCAAGAATGACGGTAAAAAAAAATTTAGCAAACAAAAGTAAAATCTTAAAAAAAGTATAAGCTAAAAAATCACCGTTTGGTATTTAGGAATGTATATTCAAAATTTCGTTCAAATCTGTTCAATAGTTTGGAAGAAATTCTTTGATCACTGCGAATTTCGGCCTGTTTCGCAATATACGCTTAACTCACGAATGGAAGTGACATTTAAAAAAAATTACAAGCTAAATAACACCTTTAGGTTCTGATGAATACATGTTCCAAGTTTCATAGAGCTGCGTTCATTAGTTTTGGAGATACTACTTGAAAATTGAATTTGGAGATTGGTCGAGAGACCGGCCACGAGTCCGGCTGTAAATTCGCCCGAGATGTCCTAGGTTTCTAGTGCTGAAACAGCTGAAAAACATATTGGTTCACTAAATGGGGTTCTATTTGTGAAATACACATTTGTGTTTAACCTTTCTCTTTTAAAATTGCAGCTTATTAAATTTCAAGAAAGAGGCGTATGTCTGTGGGGGGCGCTAGAAATTCACTAGGGAGCCAAAGGGGGCGCCAGCCTGAAAAAGTTTGGGAACCACTGGACTAATGCCTTCAAAATTTAAAATTCAATAATAATTTTGCCTGATCTGAAAATCTTATAGGTAATCTCGACTCAGGTGCAAACAATTTCTGCGAAGGGCCGAACTTATAACACGATTGTTATCAGGTGGCAACATATACATAATTTGAACGTTACAGTTACAATTATCGAACAACATGAAATGCTGGGTAATTATTCTAACAATGATTTTCTGTCTGTATTTTACATTCCCATGGTATTTTTATTCGCGAATTAAAACAGTTCATGTAGAAAAAAGGAATTGAAATTTTCTTTGCGTAGTTATTTCAATAAAAGTTAATAACTATTCATGTTAATACTCATAAAGATGGAGGAACCTAATTTGCATACAAATTTAGCAATGAGTAAATCATAATTAACGAGAACAATGTATGATTGTAATCGATCGTAATTTTGGATAATATTCGTTTATTACGGAGCCAGTTGATAATTGAAAGTCATTACATCTAGTACATAGAATCGCAATGAGAAAAAGTGCGGCCTGTGGGCGGTAGTTTGTTTATTTGATAAAACCGTGATTATTACAAAAAAATATTATGAATAATCTATATTTAAAGATCTCTTTTCATGTAGCTTCATTCCAAGTTTTTTGAGAAAAATCCAAAGTATAAATTTTCACGATTGATAATAAAGCTAAACAAATGAAGAAGTTTATTAAATCGTAATATGGTGTCACACACTTACCTCAACATGAAGGCGAGTGTCTGTTGACATAAACTTGCGACAATAATAGATTTCGAGCCTCTCACCGAAATGTGTGCGAAATGTGCTGCTGGGTTGTATGTTTCTGCCGTGTTGTGTCGTGTTGCCATGACAACTCAGTCATATCGTTCAGGTTCCGATCCGATGCAGTCTTTTAACGTTGCTGAATCTACGCAATATTTTAGGATTCCATAAATTTTTCGTTAAATGTTATCTATGAAAATAGAAGCTTTTGTGGCAGCTCATTTAATTTTATTTGAGAAATAAACGCTGATATTTTAGATTAAAAATTTTACCACTTCAACCAAGCGCCAGTGGGTTCTGATATTTTTTTCTGAAAACCGAGTTGGAGAAAATGATGCAGATTTAGAGAACCGTGTTAGATGCACAGTGCAGGTCTGTACCCGTGCTATACAAGTTTGAGAGTCATTCCTGAATTATAGGCGGCCTCACATGCTTTTGATTGGCCATCGATGATGCGGCTATGACTTTCAAACATCCAGAACATATTGCAGCACAGAGAAAATACGAAATCGAAATAACTTGAATTTCTCGAACTTTAGGTTGACAGATATTTTTTTTGTGGTTAATGCAACCAAGAAAGACTTTTTAAAGGTTATTACAATGAAGCAAGTACTTTTTCAGAACTTAACACAACCAAATTTGTACATTGCTTGGTAACATTTCATGAGCAGCTAACAGCGATACCGCAATGACGTGCCCCACACTCACAGAGCAATCCTGAGTTATTCCTGATCATATTGCATCAAGTTCAACGTGTAGGCAATGGCCGCTCAATTGTAGTTACTAACTCCATTAGTACAAGGGCATGAGTTTTTTGTAGTATGGACGCAATTTAAAGGTTCTTCTTGCTCGTAAACGCTATAACATTTGATTTCTTGCGGTAATGCCACTGCGGGGTTTTGAGGTTAGCGGGATAGCGTCTCCACGAGTCGGACTCTATGGACAATGGTTGGGGCTTTTTTTTTTAAACAAGCCGAGGTGAGTAAAATAAAGGCGAACCGAGCCGTGTCTTCCACTGCTTGCTGTGGGGCTCGGCAGTCAGCGTTGCCACATGGTATATTTCTATACCAGATTTCACAAATCTGGTATTTTCAGATGTCTGGCATGAATATTTTAGATCTGGTATATTTGCCTAAATCTGGTATTTTTCTGACTTACTGCAAATTTACTGCATTAAGTTTCACCTCTGAAGTTTGAACTTCCTTCAGCGTAGGCATGGATTATATTGATTAATTACCTTCAAACCGGCGCGACTAGAGGTTTCCCGCAATTTTTGGAACCGCAAGTTTGCCGTTTGATGAAATAACCCCAATTTAATTGTTAAAATTTAACAAAAGCGCTTAGTGCAATATGAGCACGAGAGTGATGATCCTTAATTGATTACTGATCAGTGATGATATGGCCTAGGGCGAGTGAGGTTGTCGAACCGATCTCTGCGACGCAAGCTCCACCATTTTTGTTTGGTGGTTTTGAATTCTAGAGTGTCACTTGAATTCTAGTGGGCCATTAAATATTTTACTGATCTTGAAAATCATCATCCATTCATGGAACTGGCTGCCTACTGCATCACTTGTCAACTTTGACCTGTCTCTAATGCATTCGTGGTGCAACGGTTTTCACAAGTCACCTATGTGAAAAACAAGCAGCGAAATAAAACTTCAACTAAGGTACTGGAGTCCCTTATTCGGACCATAAGCTAGTTAGCTGCTCAAACCGCAACAAGTGATAACAGCCGAAACGTTAGATTAATGAAATATGCCAGCATGTACGAAAATAAGCAAAAGGAAGATAACCTGTTTCCGTGGCTTGCTCATGTTGAGCGAAGAGGAAGAAGTGTCACACTGTGATAAAAAAAGGAAAAAGCGGCAATGTAATCAAACGCAGGAAAATAAAAGTGTCAAAACGTTCCAAACAGAGGGAAAAATATAACGTGTTTGTAAAGGAATTCGTGATTACTACTGCAACCGCGTAGTCCAGAGAGCTGGAAAATTCCAATTACGGTCCAGGGTTAGTTCAGCCAAGGAATCTACCGCAGTCGCACTAATTCGAAACCAGGCCTCGCCACGGGTTGCAAATCTAAAGACGCGTAACTTACTTAGCATTTAATAAACAATAGAAATGAAGCAGGAATAGTAAAGTAGGCTTGGTTACATGTGCCCTTGAACAGCAGAGGCTCCACTAGGATGCAAATCGTGCGGCTGAGTTCTAAGCTTAAGGGGACCGGCTACCCTAAAATTTCCAATTAAGGCGTTTTTCGGTTTTTGTGCTCATCTTAAAGCTTACTTTCTGACGCATCGAACGGTACCAGAATCATCTCTCTACGTCGAAAAACGATTTCGTGACAGCTCCCTAAAGAGGGGCGGTTTCGAGGCCCCTTCAGTAAAGTCTATGGGATTAATTAGAAGGCTGGACAGACTAGAAAGGAACGTCTGACGTAAAGCGGCTAATTATGGCATTATCTGGTGCTTATACTCGTCTTAAAGCTTATATTCTGACGCGTCGAACAGTACCAGAACCATCTCTCTACCTGCATTTTGAGGCACAGGACGCGTCGCAGAATGGGGGCGGTGGGGGGCAGCCTTCACTATTTAAATGGGAGATAATTCGAGAGTAGAACTACAAATATCGCGTATAGCGGCCAACACACTCAGTGCCCATCAAGACAGCGAGGTGGGATGTGTGCTGCCAGTCGCTCTATGCCTCGCTGACTTGGTTTGAGGCTTAATTACGGTATCTAGGCTACGTTACGACTCTTTAACGTCCGTTTACGTCCCACGCGGCAGTTTTTTGAGCGTGTTGTAAACCTCCTACTGCTCTCACGGAAAACCTATCTCCTCCTAGAGTTTTAAAGCTACAGCAATGAAACACATACCATTCGATTCGTAAAGACCATACCTATCGATTTGAACATCACTTTTTTTAATTTCTGTCTGGTTCGTTTTTTATATGGGGGAGAAGGGAAAAAGTGAAAAAATTGGAAAAACTCGCATAAAAAACTACGGAGCCATGTTTTAATCGATAGGTATGGCCTTTACGAATCGAATGATACGTGTCTCGATGTTGTAGGACGATATTTGTAGGAGGAGATATATTTTCTAAAGTAACCGTTTTTGGCCGTTTTCTATGAATTTCACGTTTTCTATCAATTTTTTCGAAAAATTCTTAGGAGCAAAATGTTATTTTTTTTTACATTTTACGTATGTATGCGAAGTTTCATGATGATCGGATGATAACTGTAGAAGTTTTTCCGGAGGGTAGCCGGTCCCCTTAATTAAAGCGCCAGGGTAGAAAGATGAGGACGAGGATGTGGATGTAAATATGAAGCCAGTACGTGTTACTCGTGGATGAGAAGCCCCTTGTGGCCAGTCAAGAGGTCTATCTGTAGCAAGGAGCACAGGGGTTAAAACAATCGCCGATTTATGATTATTTGCATTCAAATGGCAAGCATGTAATAAGGAGCCAAGGTTAGCCTATTTAGAACTAACAAGAGAACCTAGTTGATTGGTCGGAAAATACTATCATGAGCGTAATCTGGCTCAAGTGAATCCAGATTGACGTTAGAACTAAGCATAACTACAGCTTACCCGAGAGTAGAAACCAGATAACCGAATATAACCCTAACCATTTATAATCAACAACATGAAACTACTAAAACATATATACAATACATTAAATACTATTAACAAACACACAATAATCAAATTTACTTCCACCAATACACATATATACCAAATACGTGCCCGCGCACACCTCTCTCAACACTCGTCACTCATATCTATATACTTCCATCCAAAATCTCAACAAACAAAATAACACATCTAACACACTTACCTATAACACACTTACCCGCCGTGTATATATAATCTCAAAACACATTTATAGTACTCTCCCCGCTAATCACAAAATTCTCACAACAATACCTTTCAGATTTCACCGCGTTCAGATTGAGACGCGGTGGAGATCAGACGTGTTGTGTAGTCGCTCCTGGAGCCTGACCGACTTGTTTCCTGCTTTGAATTGCTTCCGGAACTTTATTGCCGTTGGGTGGCTGTGCTGTACTTCCGGAACTTTATTGCCGTCAGGCGGTTGTGCTGTACTTCCGGAACTTTACTACCATCAGGCGGTTGTGTTAAACAGGCTTGTTTCCGGTGATTTATTGCTGTGAGAGACCCTAGCTCAGTGGTTCCCAAACTTTTTCAGGCTGGCGCCCCCTTTGGCTCCCTAGTGAATTTCTATCGCCCCCCACAGACACATATAAAAACATACGCCTCTTTCTTGAAATTTAGTACGCTGCAATTTTAGAAGATAAAGGTTAAATCCCTAGCTAAATCTCAGTGAAGGAACCCGGAAACCATTAAACAATTAAGAAAGAAGATATTTCGATGGCTGGGAAGAAAGTAAACAAGATTGTTAAGAAGTAATGCGGTTCTTCGAAACAAGATGCACCGAAAAAATCGAACAGGAGATCGAAGTGCGTAGTTGAAGATGCTTGCAAGTTCTGCAAAAAGACCTCGTTGAGAGAAGATGATCAGGTGGTCATCTGTGAACACTGCGAGGATTTCATTTGCATCAGTTGCGCGAAGCTGAGCTCTGAAGAATATTCTTTCCTACAGAAAAAAGAGTCGTTTCACTGGTTCTGCAGCGACTGCGAGAAATCGACTCTCCGTTCCAGGAAAAAGCGAGAAGCAGATGGAAGAGAAGTGGTTCGCTCTGTTCGCGGCATTTAGAGCTGAAATGGAAAACAATTATCGAAAAGAGATGAACACGTTGAGTAATTTAGTTGGCTCCTTGAGTAATGAACTGAGCTCGTTGCGCAAATAGCTGATCAAAGAGAGAGCTCAACGGAAAAATACAGAAAATTTGGAAAAGATGGAACTGAAGGATCACAACGTGGACATAGCCGAAATTGCTAGCGAAAGCTCCCGCGAATTACTAGACAGAGAACGAAGGAAGTCCAACCTTGTTTTGTTCGGCATTCCCGAAAGCACCGCATCTGAGACGAACGAACGTGTGATGGCCGACAATAAGTATGTGGCAGACTGTTGTAATAAAGCTC